TTTAACCCGATTGAGTTGGTCTGGGCTGCTTTAAAAAAAAAAGTAAGAAAACATAATCAGACCCCTCAATTAAGTGAATCGCTATTGGCCACAATAAGAGATGCAGTATCTCATATTGCTGCCACAGACCTATGGAAGCAGTGTTCTAGGCATATTATTGAAAAAGAAAATGAATATGTTTTTGCCTCCTGTAAATCCCGTTGTAATTCCTCTACAAGATGACTCTAGCGACAGCTCCGAAGGCGAGGATGATATATAAATACCTATAATGTAAGTCTTTATATACTTTTTATATACCTACCTGCTATGTAAATATTTGCCTATGTCAAACGTTGGAATTCTGTAATTTTTCCATTTCTTAACTTTCAGTCAACATAAATTAAACTCCCAATATAAGTTTTTTTATCCCAAATCAAAAAAATAAGAAGATAGTAAAATCCATTTATTGTGATATAAAAACATTATTATTATCGTTCTAAATAAATGACCGCACGCCTATGATACGTCATGAAATTACAAAGGACGCGTCCACCAAAGGTTTTTATGCTATTTCAAGTGTGACTTCAGATAAAGTATACTTAATCCAGGTATAAGCCTACCTGTTTATTGCTTTGCAAAAACTACCTAACTGTGTCCTCTTATTTTGACGGCATAAGATATTTTTATGACTCTGATTCAATTGTTACCATGTACCACATGACTCTTGTAAACATAATTGTGTTTACTGACATGAATAAACGAATTGTAATTTGAGTTCTTGAATTTATTTTAGGAAATATATCAAATTATTTGAATACATTTTTTCTTAGTCGGAACGCACCGTTGCGCGTCGCTTGGACTGGCCCAAAAATCGATTTGCACTTCACAGCTTACGTTTCATTTTTTATTATTTCCAAATGTAAACTCTTGCAGCGTGCCAAAAACAAAGTCCACAGGGTGCTAACGATCCACTTTTTCGATTTTATCCACCAGGATCTTTCTAAAATATCAAGAAGTTGAGCACAAATAGTAAGCATTTCAACCCACCATAATTCTTGCGCAAAGACAAAATTTTGTAAAAAGCTCCGATAGCACCTTAGGCAATTATGTCCTGCTTATATCCAGAAATACATTACAAACTGCAGAGCACAAGTTGAACGTAACGGCGAAATGAAGCTTCTTAATAATAGAACGTGTTTCACTGATATCAAAGTTGCAACATTTAGAATCACTTTCCCTTTTTTTCTGTCAAGTGATAAGGAACCCATGTAACTTCAAAAACGGAATTTCAGCTATTGTTAATGTTTCTTTTTTGCCTATAGCACCGTTGCCACTGGACTACAAACTACAGCTAAAGCTTTGGCATACTAGTAACCCCGTATGGAAATTTCATAAAAATCCGAGCGGTTATTTCCAAGTTGATGAGTGATACAATTTTTCATATGACTTAAAAAAAACATAACATCTCATGTTAGAAATTTTCGCGATTACAATACTTCCTCGGGAAGTAAAAACGCTTCAAATCGAGGAGTATCAGCGATTGCGATTATGGGTACCTATTTGCAGAACGACTTATCTACGCGATATTATATAAAATAGGGCCACCAAATTATCTGAATACGTCCTTTCTTAGTCCGTACATTGAGCCGCAACGCTTGGGTTGGCAGCACGAAACAGTAGACAGAATTCGTCCAAAATACGATTTGTAGAGGTTTGTGCGTTTTCGAAATTGACGCTTTATTTTTTGAATGAAATTTTCACAGAGTGCTGAAAACAAAACAGACCCACTTTTTTATTTTTTTCACAAGGTTCTTTTTTAAAAAAAAAAGTTTGAACAGAAAAAAGTGCGCACCTTCAACCCATCATAAAACTTGTACCAAAATATTTGTTTCAAAAAGTGCTCCTTTATCACCCTGGGCAATTATCTTCTCAACACACTGTATGAGTTTCATTCAAAAATATTGAGAAATGGAGTGTCAGTTTTGAAGCAGCTGAACCTTGTAAATGGCTTGAAACTCACTGCGTCGGAGCCGCTAGCGCTTCGATCACATTTCAAGACCGCAGTCGTTCATAACAAAAGTTTTTTCGAAGTGAAACTCGTTACGTATATAAATATGAAAATAAAACAAATCAAGTATCCTGGTACTGTTTTTGAAATGACGCACTCAAGTTTCCGACGTCTAGTGGCGCACGCAAAGTCCCAGACTTGTTTGTTGTTTATACAATGAATGTCGATTACGCTGTATCATTTGAAGGGGTATACGCATTTACATTTAATGAAGCGTTTTTAGTTTTAGTTGGAAAAAAATGGACAGGAGTAGCTTTCAAAGTGACAGATTAGATTGTCGTCATATACCCACCGCCGTGGTAATTTCGACACTGCAATAATAATTTGATACAATATCATTTCAACTAGTTGAATGGCAATATTTAAGGGGGCCATTTTAGACTCTAATTTTAAGAAGAAAACTTTACATGAACGTTTGTCCTAACGTCTTAACTTTTGAGAAACAGCGTGGTGATGTTATCAAAAATAAATCGGTGGCACACCACTGAATTTTAAAAAAAATTAAAATCTGTGTCATTTATGAACAGATTTTATCTCCCGATTTTTTCTGCATGGTTTCATTTAAAAAATAAAATCTATTTCATGGTGATATTGTGATATTAACGACAGATTCAGGAAACGGTCTTTATTTTTCGAGCAAAAACCATCCATCAGATTGAAAAATCAAGCGATCAAATTTGCTGGATTTCAAGAATAATTTTTATTTGAATAGAAATTAGTGGCGCACCGTAAATGTCTGCCAAAATAGACAGTTTGACGTTCTGTACGAATGCCGGTGTGGAAATTAAAGAAAACATTATACGTTAAAAAATGCTTCTTACTACATAATGCACGTATGCTATTCATTAAATAATCTAAGTGGTTATTACAGATATTGATAATAAAAGATTCATTTTTGATAACTCTACCAGCCTGTTTCTCTGAAGACCTTTAAATATGGAGATTCAATTAGGAAAACTATGCGATATCGAAATTTACTTCAAGGGGCAGAAATTCATTTAAAATCGGCGCTCAGACATCAGAGGAATGCTAGTGGACAGTGACATGAATTCGCCTTACCTTTTTCGAGAATACCCTATAAATCGTGTTCTTCCAGACCGTATTACAATAACATACTAACGAATAAATAAAACGCAAGTACATTTGTTAAAAAATCGTAAATTTATTATCAATTAAATAAAATTCCATACAGATTTCAAAGGCACTTTTGGTGGTGTCTAACATATAATAATATAATACGCTGAACACAATATATTTCCATCATATCAAAAAACACACCTACAAAAATGATTAGCAAATTTTTGAAAAACGTCTTCTAAAAATTCGCCGTGGAATTACACGTATGGAACTTAGTCTAAACTATACACTAAACATCACAAATGATTTAAAATTACAATTGATTATTACACATCTAAAGTCCGTTCAATGTTAAGACACAGTTCGCGTCTATTAGAGTTGGCGTGTAGATAGGGCTTTAAATACTGTTTCAACACACTATCACGACCTATTGGAACAATTAGAAATAGTTATTTCCACACTTTCATCATTTTTGATACACTCATTTCTCTTCTAAATTGCAACCGAATATTATTATTATCATCAAAATGCTTGATATGTACGTATTATTAAGAAAATTATTGGTCTAAATATAAAAACAAACTTGCTCATTTTATATACGGTAAGTTCATACCTTTTTTACAATTTCTGATACAGTATTATATGATAACAACAGCTGCTATCTTATCTATCTACACTCTAACTCTTCGAAAACAGCAACTGCACCTTAACTTTGAACATTTGTATAAAAACAACGTGTTGCTCATCTTAGCTTTCTATCACGGAAAATGCGACTTCGCAACCTTGGTCACAGATTGTTTCAAACGCTACAGGTTTTAAAATTAAATCTGGAGAACCAACTGATTGCTGAAAATGTGCTACAGATACTTCAGAACAGCTTTAGTATCAGTTTAAAAAGTTCCAGTAATGATTTTCCAATACTGCAGAGAAATACGTTATCGTAAGCGACCGTACAAAATAGAGATATGTATTCAATGAAAAACTTCATTGCAGTCTTTTGTGGGATTTGAATATGTCTGTGTAGTACGATAGTTCAGGGCACAAATAAGAAAAAAGTCGAACATTTTTCTTCAGTCAAAAGGATCTGCCGAAATCGTAGAAAAAGACATAACTGCCTTAAATACCTCAGATTATTTAAACTTGGTTTGATTGCGTAGATTTAATCAGTAAATTAGCAGTCTTTTAAATACTCAAAAATATAAATTACTGAAATTATTTTGGTTTACTGAAGAAAAATTTATAGATATGGAATCACGTAACTATAAACCTTTCTTAGATACAGGATTTTTATTTGAGTGTATATATACCAACGCTCATCTTCAACTAAGACATCAATACCCAAATGCGGATATCGCAAATTATAGCGATGTCTAAGGGCCGTATCGTCAGCCATTTCTATAATTGTAAGACGCCCTTATGGCCTCCTTGATTGTCATAGTCTGTTCTCTCCTTCAGAAAGTCTGGGGTATTTCTAGATTTCTGTTGTTCCGTGTCGGCGCTCCCTTATTGTGAGGTTATGTTTTCTTAAGAAACAGATAATAAAAACCAAGTTTTAACGGCCAGAAATTTCTCAGAATTCCGTGATGACACTAAACACGTAGAAATCTAGATCTACTACCATTGTAGGTACGACTGACGATATGGCCCTAAATTTGAATGGCAAGATATGCATAATAACATCAGGATATTGGATGTCATCGCGCATCCAATCAAGCCTGAGTAAGCGAGATACCTGATACTCGAAACTGTCATCCGTGTATTTTGTTTACTCAAGCATCAAATTTTAGGTCAAAGAAAACCATGGCAAGGTTGATCCGGTGTAGTTTATCACTGCAGTATAAACACTATATTGTAATGTGTTTATATTGGCAGCGGAAATTTTCACAATGTGCAAATATATACTGCATTAACAGCTATTCCATCAAAAGAGTAATTGCTAACTCTTATCTAAAGTTCGTCTAATAAAACCAAGATAAAAGAACATTCATTATACCTATATCAAGAGTTGAGAGAATATAAGAGGCGATCTTGAAATTTTTCCTCATATCTTGTACACATTTGAAATCGTAGTGATATGATCTCATTGCCATATAGCGTACTAAGACGGGCCTTTGCTAATAACATAAAATAGCTATATTCTAGTTCATCTGAAAGTGATTGATCGTATTACGAGTATAAGAAAATGAAAATTCCTATATTAAAATTAATGATATCCTCTATGTATACATATCCTATGGTGTTAACCATTTGCCCGGAAAAGGTCAATCTTTTAAGGACTCATCTGCCTTCAAATTGGTTGTAATTGAATACATCCTTCAACCGCATGTTCAAAGTAACCGAGCTTTGACGTGAAGTAAAAATTACAAGGATGGTATTATAATGTAATGTGCAATGACTTGCATTTTTCGACAATGCAATAGATGCATACAGTTGATCAAGCTTACATCTGCTTAGTGTCTGTTCAAGTTTCAATAATTGAAATGATCTTCAGTGGGAAATATTATTTAGAAACTTGTTTTGAATCCCAACTATGTATTTTTAAACGGAATTGGCCTGTCTTAAGGTTAAGGCTTTATATAAAACGATGTTTGTTACTTCATATTAGCAGCTGTTTTCAAATTCTACATCAATTTATTATCAGTTCAATATTGTGTGACTTCTCACATTATTTCATAATTTCATGCCTTATTCTATTTTAAAAACAATACTACATGAAATATGAGTACCATAAATGTAAAAAAACATGGAAGAATACAAAACGACATGGTCGGTTGCACAATTAATTGTTAATTAAGTGTTAGTGTTTTCTTTAAAATGAGTAAATATTGATAAGCTATCCTGAGCTGTAATACCGACCACATTCTGACCACGTTTGAACTTCAGTTGCAATGAATAGAAAAATATTTCTGAAAGGTTAAATACATACGTTATCTTTAGATAATGAAGACAGAGTTGTAAAATGTGTAAATCTTTTCGTTATCATCATTTGGCATAAATGCGGTATAATTTTGATAAAAACTGATATTCGATTATATGCGAAAATAATCTTATCTTTTAATAAAAATATAGCATACAATGAAATAAATGACATTTCTGGTCACATGAGTACAATTTCTCTAAAAATGGTTACGTAGGCGTGAAGATTGATATAAATGCAACAAGCGAAAGTGATATTTCAAACAAAAGTATCCAGAAATTGATCTTGCATAATAGGTATACATAAACATTTTTTTGATACTACAACATTGAATATTACGAAAGCTCTCGTAGCTCAATACCAGCGTCTGTGGTTTTCAAGAAAATACATCTTTGATCAGCATTCTTGTCATGTGGAAACATCGATTTGTCGTACTTGTTTTTTGGTTATAAAAGTCACGATGTGGCATCCAACTTGGTTTAGGATAAAAATACATCTGATAAACTGATTCCTTCAATGAATTTTGTAGCATATTTATAAAGCATAACGATGAAACAGGAACGAGCGTTAGGACCACGTTTTCTAGTAATAAAAACAGAATAGAGTGCTAAAGTTCGCCTACTAACATAACTATTAGGATATGCAGCATGCTAACAGCACAAACTATTCAGGTATGCATTAAATCTTTATATTTTGACATTACGATGATAACATGGTGATTTGTTTTACAAATCGGAACACAATAATTCAGACAGATTGTTTATAGTATCATTTTATGGTTTGTGTGTGTATTGTTGAGCTTATCTTCAGAACCACCGATCTGGATGATTCAACCTTTATCATATCAAGCACAAATATTTTAGCAGTATCTAAACTTCATTCTTCAGCATTATCTATTGAACTAATGAGATGCCTTTTTAATACATCCTGAGTTAAACAACCGCGCCCACTAGCACAGGCCAGTTTTCGATAAGAGCTTTGATTTATTGTTTGACAGCATGAATACTGCAAAAAAACTATGTTATAAATCATAAGTCTTTTGAGTATTAATGATTTAGAATAGTATGATACTATTTTGTCTCTCTACAGGCCACTTTTTGTAGACGCAAAATTTTTATAACTAAGTACTTTTCATGGAAAGTGAGGGTACAGACTGATGCACCTATAGAGTAATTAGAATAAGGGGTAATCCTGAATCATCTTTACCAGTATTTGAAATCATACTGAGGGCAAATGGGCAGAAGAACTTGCTCAGACCCTAAAGATATTAACTATTGATAAAATCAACAACCTTTCAAGGCAATAACATAGGGTCTGGTCAGGCCCTTAAGACACCTCTCTTTGGATATGTTTCTGAGGAATCGATATTATAACTAACATCGAACGGATCAAATAATTTAAATCAATCATGTATTCGAAACAAAAGCGTCCATTTATGTCATTAATAAACGTAAGTGCAGGATGCATTCCTCGGCCGTGGGAACCTCGGTCCACTCTACCGTCTCTACACAGACATATTCTTTGTTCTTGAAGCAACCTGTGACTGGTTATTGCCTCGTGGCCCCAGCACATGGCCGCCACGCCACCTGTCGGCGCAAATGCGAAATCGGTCTCCGCAATGCAAACCTGTTCCTTTCTTGCACACACTCTCACAACAAAGTCGTCGCGAAGTTTACGGAAGATGCTATTGGCAGTATAAACGCGAATTTTAGGAATATATCTTTAAGCGGAGTACAAGAGGTCGTTCTCATATTCGCCGACCAGGCAGCTTTTGATCTAGGCTTTCTACAAAACAACAACAAAGGAGCGTATATCTGGCTCCCATTTTGAGTAAAATACAAAATATACTTGGCAATGCAGAGGACACTAGATGTGGCACCAGAAAAACGTGGAAGAACATTTGATTTTAAGTTCCATCTTGATGTAGGCAAATCATATCAATTACATATGGGTCATTTGCCTCTTTTGGCACTATCTGGGTTTTCCCTTAGATATGAATTCCACAATAGCTTAAGTAAAATTGCTTTTACAATATTCAAATTCTTGTTCTAGTTATGGTCTTTGTCTTACGCCTAGTGGGGGAATATGAAAACGGACCATCCGAAGTATAATGCGGAATGACCTAATTGAGCTATCGTACCGTTTTACAAAATTACATACTTTCAACATATATATCACAGCCAAACCCAGAAAAGCTGGCCGGAAATCATATATATTTATTTACAGTCTTGTCTGTCATCACAGAACTTTGCAGATTGGTCCGTAGTTGATCGCTTGGAATGGCGTTTGAGTATATAACAGTAGGGCTTCCACTCCCTACCCACTTGATCATTTACATTCGTTATACAGTCTCTTTCCCTTCTAGTTTCTTCGCTAGATCCGACATTACCTCTTTGAAGATCAGCGGATCGATGTTCTTGCCCTAGCTGGTACAGAACGAACCAGTCACCGACCTCGCACTTGTTCGCGATCGTTTCCACTTGCTCTGCAGATGCAATCCTGCACTTGGCTCGAAGGAGGTAGAGACGCATCTTGGGTCCGACGATGACGCAACAGCGGTAGATCAAAGAGATTCCGGATAGGACGCTCAGGAAGATGAACCAGAACCACAAGAACACGTAGATCTTCTCGTTCACGATATTGAGAGGAAGCACGCACAAGCCGTCGAACTTCTGCACCGAGCCTGATGGACCGTATTTGTGGAATGTGCATTTCGTTACTTTAGGAAACACCCTTGACATAGGGTCTTCTCGTTCTTCGGGTTCCATTTCCGTGAATTTCAACACATCGCTACCGTACGTGCTGAATTCGCCGTCGAGGAAGAAATCCATGAAGAAGATTTGTCCGACGACGTTGATGAAGTTAAGGACCTCGCATATAAAGAACCTGAACGCGTAGAAGTTCTGCATATGGAGGTTCGTCGTAAAGTAATCGACTAGCAGTCTTTTTCGGTCGTTCTTGCAGTCGTCACTTACAATGGGGCAGTTGAGATCGATCACCAACATTTTGATCCTTCCGCCTTCCCAGGTTTTCCACAGGTAGCGTGGTACGTAAAACAGCATAGCTTGGAAGAACAGTACGAAACACACCCATTGGTAGTACTTGTGGTATTTAACATCGTCTTTACCGTCCACATGGCTCGACACCCCCGGTTGTACTATATCCTGTCCCACTCTTCCCGTAAGTCGATTCGGGATCGTAAACGTAGAGTAGATCCAGCAATAAGTGTCCATAACATTGAGCGGGATCTCGTCCACGATGCAGTCGATAGGGTCTCCGATGTATTGTCTGCTAGTGACGAGCAAAGAGAACGCAACCAGTATCACGACCGTGGCTTTGTAATGCAGACGGAAGACATTGTTGTCGATGCACACCGAATCGATCTTCAGCAGCCCCTTGACGGAGCCGAACACGTCGAACATGGTCACCGTTCGTCACCGCAACCCGCACTAATAACAGTCTATTGGTTGACCTGCTTTGTGACCGAAATTGTTGACGCGTCGCGGACCAAAGTTTACTCGGTGTTGGTCGAACTACGGCGACCCGAGAAGTGATGTAGCGTACTGAACGCAGGGCAGGCGGGTAGGGGGAAGCACTCGGTAGGCGCAGGCTATTGGATGGCGCGGTCCCCTCTAGCCGGGGTACCATGTCGAGAATGTCGTGACGGAGAGACCGACATCGGCGAACGAAGCTACGTTGCCATATTGTGGAGGATCTACGGGAATATAGGCCAAGTAGACTCATGTGAGCCCCTTCCCACTTCAGTTGGCCCAACTATTGAAATCTTAGTTTTTTTCTTATCAAACACGAATAATAAAAATGTAGCAGGGTGTTATAGGTTTAAAATATTAACAATGATAATATCTAGTAGAAAACACCAACTTTATCACTCCCTAATCAAATTTGCAGCATAAAAATAACACATGTTGCGATTACAGCATGTCAACCTATTTTCATTTCAATGCAAAATAAGTCTATAACGCATAGGTGGCTGTGAAAAATAAAAGCCATGACAATTGTTTTATTAATCACAGCTGTCAGAATACGTTTAAAATAGTTTTGGGTAGTTAAGGTTTTCAAAATGGGTAGAGGAAAGGTTGTTAGTGAGAAAATTCAGTTAATGATAATTAATTTTTTTAATTCTGGGAAATCAAACTCAGAAATTGCAACTTTGTTAGACTTATCGCGGTACAGTGTGACAAATATTGTTGGAAGGAGAATTTCGAGGTCCACAACCCATAGAGAGGCCCACAAACTGGGATTTAGCACTTGCAAGGTAAGTTTTCTTATACAAAAAAGTGAAGGAAAAACCCTAAAGTTACACAACTTTTTTATAGGCCAAAGAAAAGCCACTATTAACTCCACTGCAAAAGAAAAATTGGCTTAGATGGGCTAAAGAACATAGGACAATGGACACCTCAACAATGGTGTACAATACAATGAAGTGATAAGGCCCGATTCGAAGTTTGTGTTGGTGACAGTAGCAGTAGAGTTATTCGCAAAAAAATGAAGCATTCCATGTTGACTGTCTGAAGAGAAAAGTGAAATTTCCAGCATCCATTATGGTCTGGGGCAGTATGTCATTAAAAGGAGTAGGAAAACTTCATTTTATTGATGGAAATGTGAAACAAATATTTGGCAATTTTAGAAGAATCGCTTTTACCAGTGATGGAAGAATGTTTGACATCCGACCAAGATTTTGTGTTTCAGCAAGATGGTGCAGCGTACCATACCTCAAAAAGGCTATAAAATGGATGGAAGAAAATAATGTACCACTTTTGAAATGGGTTTCTAGCAGTCCAGATCTGTCACCTATTGAAACTTTGTGGCACGAGATGAAAAAGGTTCTACGACAACATCCTGCTCGTACAATCACCGAACTGAGACAAAAGCTTCAAGAAATATGGGATTGTTTTACACCAAATTTTTTCCAAAACTTGGTTAACATTATGTCCCAAAGAATTTCAGCCGTAATAAAAAATAAAGGTGATGTTACCCAATGGTAATTTTTCAATTGTTGCTTTGTTAACTTCGCGCATTTATTCGCACATTGTTTATTTGTTCAGATGTTCTATTAGTTATAGGTCTAAGTGATTTCAAATATGTAGTTTTTACAACTAGAGTGTATCTAAAATGTTTTTGAGAAAATAAATTGTTTTAGAAGTAAATCGTTTCGTCATGTTTAGTTTATCAAGGCATATTTTGGTACAAATCTTGAAGTGGGCCAACTGAAGTTTGAAGGGGCTCGTAATATGAAGATAGTGAAGATATATCAGCTTTTACGGAATCACACGTACTACAAGTATCTTTTCGTGGATAACCGAACGATATATTGAAGTTGTTTTCAAAGATTTCTCGGAAGGATTCATAGGAAATCTTGTTTTCAACATTTTGTATAATTTTGCAATGTTTAGATTTTCAGGTAGGTAAACTTTTTGCGAATCTGCCAAAGAATAATGAGAGTTGCGGCATTTGAGGTTCTTAATAAACTCGGTCACTTTCTGTTTTGTGTTTTCTGAAAGTTTGTGAAGTCGTGTCTTGTGTTTTCCACGCATGTCGATGGGCGATTTCCCAGTTGCAACTAATGAGTCTCTTTTGTACCGAACTCGGCGAACTGTAATTCCTTGTAAAGATAAAAAAGCCTTAAGACGAACTGGGAACATCATGTCTTCACTTTCTTGATCGAACATTAAAAAACGTCTAAAGCTAGAGGTTTAAACGAAACTTTGTAGCATGAAATGAACATCTGGTAATTCAGTGACTGAATAGAGACTGTTTTATATTCGTAAGTTGTATTTTCGTTCTGACCTTCCATTTTATTCAATTTTCAAATTCTTTATCATGTCAGGGTGGCCAACTGAGAATGCGAGATACTGTATCTAGGAACCTTGCAACAGAAAAAGTTCTTTGTAAAACGATTTGGAGAAAATATTTTCAAATGGTTGAAAAGAGCTATTCTTGGGCTACAAATGTTATAATATTTAAAGCTTTGTTAGTTTCACATGTGGCTCGGACAGAAATGGTTGATGTCTAAAAAGCATGGTATTATTTTTAAACAGTACTAATGAAATATCTTGTTACTTAGCCTAAAATTTAGGCTAAGGAAGGTTTTATAAGAAAATCCCTTACATTTTTATTTTTTTAAACTGATTTTGTTTGCATACACACTGTCTTTTTGTAGTACATCATCAAACAACCTTGAACTGTTGAGTGATAAAGGTTGGTCGGCACTTCTATCTTCTGTGGGCTGCTTAACTTTTTTAGATTGATCCAGAAATGTCTGGGCAAGATCAAAACAAAGCTAGGCCCTTCAGTGATTGTTGGGCTTTGGCACTACATTAGAACAGCTGGACACAAAGTAGTGGAAAAATTATTTTATACGCAGATAACACAACAGCTCTTGTTGGTCATTCAGAGGATAAAGTTAAGTGCAAAACAAAATTTATAACACGTGCCACACAAAAACAAGCTTATGCTAAACAATCAGAAATCATACTTTCAAGATGAATGCTAACACTATAGAAATCCAAAAGAGAATCAAGTTCCGTTTTTATAGGAACTACCCTGGATAGTGACCTTACTGACGTTCAAGTCAACTTTATTTTTTTGAATGAGAATGCCTATTTTTGATACTGACAATCGAAATGGTGGAAAATTTTACGTTCAAATACAAATTGAAGTCCAAGGACAAAGTCAAATCTGTGTAGCTAGGAAAACCTCTATAAATCTCTCAGAATTAGTAATGAAAACTATTATCAAGTTCAGGTCTTTGGTAAATTTTAACGAGCGAGTCAACGGTGATCTTGGATTTGACGTTGATCCTCACATTCCAGGTAATTCCAAGGTCAGCTTTGCTTTTTTGAATGGAAATCCCTATTTTTGATGTTGGCAATCGGAAGACCATTCGAATATATATTAAAATTCAAGATCAAGATGACCGCTGGAGGTCAAATAGGTTAAATGAAGGTCAAATATGTGCTGCTAGGAAAATCTATAGAAATCTTGCAGATATCGTGACAAAAATAACTGGTAAGGTCAGCGCTTTAGTAAAGTTTCAAAAGAAGCGCAGATTTTGCATTTGACCTAAAACCCCACCTTCAAGGTCATTCCAAAATCAATTCTATTTTTCCAAATAGAAACGCCTACTTGATGCCGACAATCCAGAGAACCGGAAACGTTTTGTTCAAATGCGTATTAGATTTCAAGGTCAAGGTGACCACTAGAGGTCACATAACGGTCAAATATGTGCTACTAAGAAAACATGTAGATATCTCACACGAATAGTCACGAGCATAACTGGAAGGTCAGATCTGTTGGTAAGTTTTAGCGCGGGAAATGCGGTGCTCATTACAAATAATTTTTAATTGATGCCGGTTCCTGCTGGTTTCTATTAAAAAAAAGACCTTGGAATAACCAAGATCACTCGCCAAAATTTACTACTGACCTGACCTTGATAGTTATGTTAACCTTTTCCGACCTTTCGATTGTCGGCATCAGAAATGGAGGTTTCTATTTGAAAAAATAAAGTAGACAGTAAATTAACCTTGAAGGTGAAGGTCAAATTCAAGGTCAACGTTGAATTCCTTGCTGATAGTTACCTGACCCTGATCTTTTCCAAAAATACTTATCGAGAAAATACAAAGCCGTTCCAGGACTTTTGTGACTCTCTGTATATGTACCTTACTTGATCTATCTGTTATTTACAGCCTACAGGTTTAAAAATGTCTAATGTCTAATGTTAACACGCTGTAAGAAGTAAAACTGCTACTTTTAGTAGAACTGATGTCTTTTTTGGGGTTTCAAGTAGACTTTGGGGTACCGAATGACTATCAATTGCTTTCATCCGACACGAGTGAAGTGAGATTGAGATTCACCTTTCCAACAACAAACCTGTAAAACAGGTCAACAGGTTCATTTCACGTATACTGTTTAACTTTAGTCTTTTTAGGCTGGATTGCCTATAACATCTAGTATCGATAGAATATAGAAAGGCTTGACCTACTCCATCACTTATCTTGAATGACCAGCACCCGAATACGGACATCATGGGATCTAACTCCGAAGTCTTAGAAATGAACGCGTAAAAACCTTTGGGGTAGGTTGGCGTCTTTAGAAAATCTACGTCAGTACTTCCGAGAAGCCGTTAAAGCATTTCCATTACAGAACCCGCACACAAAGTAATATCGGCGTACTCATCATTGCAAAACTCCAATTCATAACACAAAAATGTAAAAAAGAAACGTTTTACTTGACTTTTCATAAATGATCTAATTTGCTTTATTTTTATTTTTACGAAAACAGTGCACTCTTGGAAAAAATCACAAGAGTAATTATGTGTAGCAAATTGAAGGTAAAATTCGAAAAATTGAGCGTTTAAAAAAACAATGGCGTACTATTTTTATTTGGAGAAATAATGCCACTAATCCCCTGTATCTCCGCCACTGGTGCACGTTAATTTTAAGTAGAGATTTTTGAATGTGGACAGTACTAAGGTAAATCCACATACTAAATTTTAGTTCGTTCCAGTTGACGGTCTTGGAGATTTAAAAAAAATGTTTTTTGTTTTTAAACTTCAACACACCTAGGAAAAATTGTTACATAGAAGACCCCCCTTAAAATGCGGCCCTGTGTATGATATTACATTTTTGGTCGCGATTCGTGAATCACCCTAGATATGCCTTGAAACTTTGTGAAACGACAAACTGTTTCTGATGGAAATAAGTCGGACTTTTACGGCACAAGAGGTTGCAACGCCGCCGAAGAAACCGCTTACCAGCCTACCGTATTTCACAAAGGAAGAAGACACCAGTTCCCAGCATGTGTTAGACAGAGATATCATTTGGTTTCACAGATAGGCAGCGTAAATTCTTGTACCTAAGATGACACCTACGAATTTTTTTATGGACGCTATTAAGACAAAGACTTTATTTTGAATGTCCACGCTTTACGAGGTTCAAGAACACCGGACTGGTTGGATGAGTATTCGTTCCAAGTGGATGATCTTTAATTCGGTATTAGGTGGTATTTCTTTATATTCACAATGTTATGAAGTCATTGTCATGGATACGGGCGGAGGAACAGAAATGTCTGGAAGTTTTAGATATCGAGGCTTTTTCTATTTCCACTTAGCGCCGTTTCGTCAGTCGTTTCTACAATTGTAGCCTTCATGGCCTCCTTGATTTTCATCGTTCTTTCTGTTCTTCAGAAAGGCTGGGTATTTCTGGATTTCTACTGTTGTGAGGCTATGCTTTATTTTTGAATTGAGAAATTGCATTCTGATATAACCGATGATATAAATCAAAAGCATGAAAAATTTATTTATTTATATTTGATGATATTTGATATAGATATTTGTAACATAACCTCAAAATAGAGTATTGACACGGAACAGTAGGAAGCTATGAAAATCAAGGAGGCCATACAGACGATTAGGCCCTTAGCAACCAACTCCATAAATGTTGAAAATCTTTACTGCTACCGGAGCTCTCGCTATTACTTACTTTTCAATCTATACTTGTTATTTTCTAATTGTTTACAATTCACATGGGTTGAAGAATAATCATTCAGCATATCAGACCTCAAAGACTCTGTTGGCCTCCTTTATAGGATCTTTCCATAGGTTGTTCAGTGTTGGATGTTCTGCTGTACTTATATCCATTCTGGCGAAAAGGGTAGTTGGAAAATCCAGAGCATTAAAATGTATCACTAATATGTTTGTTCGATCTCTGAGCGTTTAGGGAAATGCTTACTTATTACTAAAGTACTTACTATTGTTATAGATTAGATTTTCACTTGCTGATGCTTTCCAAATAATGAATAAATAAGTCATTGTGACTCAGGTAACGTGGGAACATAACCTGCAAAAAATATATTGAAAACTAAACATTTAATATAATAAAGAAACTTAAGGATATATGAGTCACGTGGGAACGTTCATATTATCTATGAATCAGATTAGATTAGATATTTTTGAGAGGGACCACTTAACTATTTTTTCAAATTTAATAAAAACGCCTCAAGTGCTTCCTAGGTAACCTTATATTTTGATAAATTCTATTGTTAGCGCAACCAGAACTATGGATATATACACGTGTGATTTAGAAGACAATGTACATATTTTTAGGGTAGAAAATAAACTCAGTAATATTCGAAAGCTATGTTTCTGAACGTATAGGAGTATTGAGCACAGTTTCAAACATCTATCGCCACCAGCAAGACCCATATACGCAGAAGCTTTCTTAGAAAATCTCCATGTTTTGCTTGCAGACCACATACATTACCGCTTAAAAGTATTTGAACACCTGTATATTTCTATTTAAAATCATAACAAACAAAAAAAACTATTCAGTACGTATTTAATTTTTTATTTATTGGAGACCATCACCATGAAAATCAAGCATCACTGAAAGGTCATTGAGGTCGTTGCCATTATTTTCTATAGTTTCCTCATCACTTGAGGATGACATGCTATTAATGTGATAAAAACTTGTATCCAGTAAAAATACGGAACTGTCTATGTAAGCTCTGGAATACAACAGTCAGTGATGCTGAGTGGACGAACTCCCACGTTAACTACAAGCTGGAACAAGTCAGGATATGTCGCTCAAGATACAAATACCAGCCAACCTTTTACTTCTTCTTGGAGGATATCCTCGCGAGTATAAGGTACATTATGAATATGAAAACAAGGATATGCTTATACTTCTACCTTTTTCTCCGAAGCAAGACCTTATAGTTTTACCTTATATGCTTCCGAGGATATGCTTCTCTTTTATGAATACGGCTCAATAGCCCGTATTTATAAAAATGAAAAAGGTACAAGCAAAAGGTAGAAGTAAAATGTTTTGCTCTAATTCATATTCATAGTCTCTACCTCTTCCTAGCAAGCAAATGCTTCGGGAAAATAAAGTAAAAGGTACGGAGATAAGCGATTTCGACAAGATATGACTTGCAAGCGTGCAATCAACGCGTATGTGGTCTGTAACTGATGGGGTTGATCTTATTTGTCTCGTAATTAAAAGCATTTCGCACGTCAATTGATGTAAAGAGATCTATCTAACTTATTTGTGCAGCTATTTTAAACGATTTAAAAAAATTAACGTCAATAAAGGACTTTAAAAGACCTTTCAAGCAAGCTATTACTTGATACCCCTTATCGTTAAAATTTTTAAGCGGATGACCCTGGGGACAGAGGGCGAAAGGGGCTGAATTAGTTTTTAGTAAAAAAGTTGTCCCACTTGACGAATCTTCTGACATGTCTCGCCGGTTTTTCTTTTAATTAGTGGTATTCGATAAATCCGTGGTGGGAGGTATAAGTAAAAATTAACCTGCATACTTTTTTTACAAAAATAACCGCCTCTGACTACATTGAAAAAGTCTAACCAACATAGCCAAATGTGTGCGAGATTTTGGATATGAGTTTAACATATAATTACCATGAGGGTATTGTTACCAAAAGGCACAAAATGTCAGTCGGGAACGTGAACGCAACATGTATTAACCGAATCCATGGCCCAGTCCGTCCAAAAATGCCTCGTGTTCAAGATACTGGCAAGAATTCAACTTTGTCAAAAAACGACTAATAAAAAATTTCTAAAAACCCTTGCGCGTCTATGATCGAGATGGAAGTTAGTTTTCTGGGTAAATCGGATGCGTAGAGTCCAAATTCGATGTCGATACATTGCTACAATTTGCGGCTAGGCCGGAAAAATAGTTTCTTGTCAACTTTTCACCCTAAATCCAGTCTGATAACACTTTGTAATTTTTTCACTGTGATATTCATATTCAGCGCCCCAAATTACCTCATTGTGCAAAGCTTTGCTTTCATGTAGCCATCGATAGCAAAACGGATTTTTAGCACCTTAAAGTCGCAAAAACGCCTAGTTTTGCAATTTTTCGCTAAGTAATTAGATCTATATCATAAACGGGATCACATGTATCAACGACCTCGGATTCGGTATTGGCAACCCAAAATACGTGGAATAAAGGTCATTTGAAGCGCATTTAAAGCATTTTAACTGGTGATGTGCAAAATATTGGTATCCGCTAGAAAGTATCCGATACATTTGTATACAAGGTTACTTGGTACTTTACAGCTTAATGATTCTTAGATGATAAGACAAATTATTATTTGCTTGGATTTTTAGTTCTTCATTTTACTTATTCTCTTTGCGATTATGCAGCCTCCATTTTATCAAGAAAATACTTACATTTCTTCAATCATTGTTTAACTTAGATATACTTTTATACCCCTTAATCTTCATAATAAACAACAATGAAATAGCTAGAAAAACAATTTTTAACAAAAAAAAATATTAGCAAAACTAATAAGATTTTTCATCCTATAGTTAAAATCCACATTTTGTGATCCACAGTATCCACACTATCCAAAAGATCGGATCATCGGATACTATCGGATACTTAAAAATATCCAAGTTGTACATCACTAATATGCTCTATTTGAAAGATCTTTTTCTTATAACATTTCCAAAATATACAGGGTGTTTCAGTTTACTGTTGCATAACTTTAAGATTCGATAGTACTTTTAAAATTAATGCATAAAGTCTATATAAATATGGGTCGAAAAATGCGTGGCTTCCGAAATACAGGGTATTTAAATTTACTTTCTAAAATAGTTTTTTTAAATATTTCGAACAATATTTGATGTATAACAGTGAAAATTGGTATACAAGAGTTTTTGGTACGACAAAACGAACCATGGGAATAGTTTTACTGTAGCCGCTAGAGGGCGCTCTCTACTGTACCTGTAGTGTATTAAAATAACCGACAATTTTTTCTTAGTGCAATTTTTTGCTTTTTGAATAAAAAAACTGATTCTTCGCACTTTTCAACATAAAAAAGCTCGCTTGTGAGCTTTCGTTATAGTTAGCCGTTTTTGAGATATTTCGATTTTTAAGGTTCGATGCATCTTTAATTATTTATGGGAAAATAATATTTATTTACATTTTCGATTTGGGCATTACAAGTAATTAAGATGATCGTTTAGATTGTATTTTTGAACACAGCAATAATTCCTAACTCCAAATAAACACAAAAAAACAGAATATTAATTTGTTTAATTTTACAATATTATTTTTAACAAATTAAATTAATTATTTACAACTAAAATGCTATTGGATAGTTAGGATAAACATACAAAATCTAAAGTAGTTGCTCGAAATGTAAACCCAATTGTTCAATACACAATTCACATCTACGAATGATCGAACGTGGTATAGCATTAGTCAAATAAGGCCTTATTCCATCACATGCATTTCTGATTCTGACTATTAGCGTATCTCTTGTGGTTATGGGAGTCTGGTACACTTTTTCTTTTAGAAATCCTCACACAAAGAAATCTAATGGATGTAGGTCAGGGGATCGTGGAGGCCAGGCGACTGGTCCTCCACGGCCGATCCATCTTTCTGGATAATTTTCGTCCAGCCAGTTTCTAACTATTCTCGAATAATGAGCTGGACAACCATCAAGCTGGAACCAGGCCAATCTTCTTAAATCTAACATAACATCATCACACATATTTGCATTTTCAGCCTTTAAAAATTCCAAGAAGGTCGCAGCATTTAACCTTGCAGGCAAAAGGTAGGGTCCTGCAAGTTTTTCTGATCTTCGCCCTATAAGCATTTTACCAAGTTTATCTAAGCTTTTGGAAATGGCTCTACATGAGCAGCTGCACACATTTGTTTGTCAAAATAATTTACTCACCACCTCCCAATCTGGCTTCAGACCATTACATAGCACCACCACTGCGCTCCTGTCTATATCGGATAATATTTATAGCGCGGCTGATCAAGGAAAGCTGTCCTGCTTAGTTCTTCTTGATTTTAGCAAGGCCTTCGATACGGTTGACCCAAATATTCTCTGTAAAAAGCTTAGATACTTTGGCCTATCATCATCGGCTTGCACGCTGATTAAGAGCTTTTTAACTGATCGCTCACAGTCTGTCATATATGAAAACAATATATCAACTTCTTTATTCAGAAATTTTGGTGTCCCTCAAGGATCTATTTTGAGTCCCCTTTTATTTGTTCTTTATATATGTGATTTTCATGAAACCGCCAGCAACTCAATCGTTCATCATTACGCCGATGATACCCAACTTTATAACTGCTTCGATCCTGATGAATATATGCTTGGCCAACATCAAATAAATCAAGACCTGCAGTCTATTTTTGACATATCTAGTGCTCACAATCTAAAACTAAATCCTGGCAAATCATGCTGCATTTTATTTGGGCCCAAAAAGAATCGTGAAATAAATCAATATCGCATTAATATTATGGTGAATAATGAAGACATATCCTTCGTAAACGAATGCAAAAACCTTGGTATCTGGTTTGACTGCAAGCTACGCTCCACTAAACATGTTAACCAACTATGCAATGCGTCCTATAATGTGCTTCGTCAGTTATACCCGAGTCGAAGTGTCCTGTCGACACAGCTCAAGCTTAAACTCTGCGAGTCCCTTATCCTGTCAAAATTATCTTACGGTGACTCTGTTTATGGACCTGCTCTTTTACAACGTGATGCCGAGCGGATTCAGATGATACAAAACTCATGCATCAGATTTTCTTATGGAATCCGTAAATTTGATCATATTAGTAGCGCTTTTGACCAATCGGGATGGCTTAAGATGAACAAATTGAGGAAACTGCATTGCCTATCTCTGGTACATAAGACCCTTATCCTTAAAGCGCCATATTATCTTTATACAAAACTAAGCCTCCTCTGCCAGTACGATCAAAGATCCTCTAGGAATAAACTCATCTTACTTATCCCGCGGCATTCGACAGCATTGTTCACACGCAGTTTCTCGTACTGGGCACCCAAACTATATAACTGCTTATCAAGTGAGTATAAAGAATATAGCCTAAGCAATTTTAAAAAAAGGTTAAAGATGAGT